CAATACGTGGGTAGAAATGCTGTGTAGGCACCTGGGCAGGTGCTGTAATCACGCACCAAAACGCGGTGTGTGAGTGTGGAGCTTGTGCTGGTGTGGGTGGAAAAGGAGTGCGAGGATGTGGTGGATCAGTTGTTCCCCTGCTTGGCTTCCTGAGGTGTTCAGTGTGGTTTGGAGAGTGCTGCTGGTCTCTTTACCCTGCCACTTTTCACAGCACCGTGTCCCCAAAGCCATTGCTGGGTGCTGGCACTGAGCTTGAAAAGCCTGTGGGGACAAGCAGAGCTGTCCCTGCCGAGGGTGGCTGCTTTGTGACGTGTGATTTGTCCTTTTGCCCTCTCCTTTTGGGCCAGGGTGGGCCATGCTGGAGCTCCCGGCTCGTGTGGGAGAGTGAGGGCAAACTCACTGAGCTGTGGGGCCAGGAGGTGACACAGGAAATCTGGGTTTTATTTCTGTTCAAACAGCCCAGGCTGGGCTGGGCTCACAGCTGCTTGTGTGCACATCTGGCTGTGCCAGCTGGGTTTGGGGGCTCAGATCTGTGAGTTTATGAGCTGGTTTTGGGGATTTACGTTCCCTTGGGCTTCTCTCAGGTTTCACTCCCCATCTGCAGGCGCAGTAACCAACGCTGCCAAAGGAGGGACTCAAACAGCCCGAGAAACAACAAACTTTGACATTTGTGCTGTTCCAGCTGCAGAGGAATGTGCTGATCCCTGTGCTGGGAGCACATAGAGAGACACACACACAACACACACAGCAGCTCCCTGGGGCAGGGTGCTCAGGCCATGGTCACTCACCCTCATGCCATGTGTGTCCCCACCAGTTTGTGTCACAAATGGGGTTTTAATGAGCAGGGGATTTCATGGGCTACAGTTCCCTGTGCTCACCCAGCAGCCCCTGATCTGATGTCAGTGGTGCAGAGATGGTTGTTCCATCTCAGTCCTGTGTGGAAGAAGGAGCAGCCACCTCTCCCACTCTGCTCCTGTATCTCCCTGAGCACGTTCAGGGGCTCCAAGCTGTGCTCATTCCCTTGGGCTTTATCAGGGTTGGCTCTAGGGGCCAGAGGAGCGACCCCAAGGGCTTTATAAGCCTCAGCTCCTTGAGGGAATCCCTCAGTCTGGCTCAGGGCTGTGCCAGTTCCAGCACAGCAGCAAAAGGAAGTGGCAAACATTATTTTTAGAAGCTCTTAAATGCCTTCTGTGCTGAGCCTGGCTGTGCCAGCACAGGGATTTGGGGTGATGTGGGGCAAGGGATGGCATTGGCTCTGTGCTGCTTCTTGAAGTGAAGTGAAACAGTTCCATTTCAGGGTCTCCAGAGTTCTGGGCTGGTTGTAGAGGATAAATTCCTCCTCACTAAGCCCAGAAATGTGAGGAGGTGGCTGTGCAGGGGCTGCACTCTCAGCCTGTGTGTCCTGGCACGCTCAGGGATGGTGACAGATCTCTGTAGTGAGCTCTGGGTGTGAGAGTGTGAGGTCCTGGCTGTCCCTGTGGGCTGTGAACCTCAGGCTGTGTCAGTGACAGGGACCATTCAGCCTCCCTGAGCACCACAACCTCACCAAATCCCTGCTGCCATTCCCACATTGTGTCCTGCTCCTCAAACACGCAGCTGGGCCAAAGTTTGTGGGTTTGTTGTGCAGGGAGCCTTGGGAGTTTCACTTTCACTTCACTGGAGCTGCATCAGCTCTGTCTGTACTGGGGATTAATCAGCATCACCCTCATCATGCTTAAGCTGAGCTCCCACAGGTTTGGCTGAGCTCTGGAAAGGAAATGTTGGGCTTTGGGGTCTCTCTGGCTCTGGGACTGTTGCATGTGCACCCTCCCACCCTGTCACAGCCTGCAGCTCTGGGTGCCACCTCCTCCTCTCACCCAGTGTGTGTCTTCTCCTGCAGGACTACATCTGCCCACGGTGTGAGTCTGGTTTTATTGAAGAGCTTCCTGAGGAGCCAAGGTAATGTGCTGCCCCAGGGCTGGTGCTCCACTGAGCCCACGTTGCTTTGCTCCCTTCCTAGTTCAATGTTTGCTATAAAATGCACTGTTTGATTGCTTCTGCCCCAGCTTTAGCTCATTTTTCCTCATTTTTGGAATCTAGTGCTTTGTTGGCAGAGTTTGCATCCACAGCCCAATCTGAGCAATGCTGAGTGTCCAGTGTCTCTGCTGAGGGGTGTAGCAGGAATGGTTTGATTTCAAACAAATATAAAGAAGTGCTAGGGAGGTTTTCCTCCTGCTGTGTGGTGGTTCTGACCTGACCAGAGCAGAGATAACCCCGGAGAGAGGTTTCTATTGATTCTGCCCCAGCTTTAGCTCAGTTTTTCCTCACTTTTGGAATCCACTGCTTTGTTGGCACAATTTGCACCCACAGCCCAATCTGCCATGGCAATACTCAGCATCCACAATGTCTCTGCTGAGGGGTGTAGCAGGAATGGTTTGATTTCAAACAAATATAAAGAAGTGCTAGGAAGGTTTTGCTCCTGCTGTGTGGTGTGGCTCTGACCTGATCAGGACAGAGATAACCCCAGACAGAGGGATCTGGGCATGGTGAGTGCATGAACACCTCAGTGTAAGCAGTGACTGTGTTGGGAATGAGCAGCAAAACGTTGTGGTTGAGACTTTGGACTCTGCCCTGGAGCAGTGAAGTCCATGTTCCTGTGCTACTCTGCTGCCACTGGCGGTAAAAGCAGCAGAAATTCTTAAAATGTTTCATTTTGTGTTTGTGAGGCCCCAGCTGTGACTGGCAGTGCAGGGGCCAGGGGCAATGGGTGTTGCTGCCTGCTGATTGTGCTGCATGGCCTGGGGCTTCTGCACTGAGCAGGTGATGGTTGGTTTGATCACCAGCCCTGGAGCCAGAAAATCCATGCTGGCTGATCCTGACTGTTTTGGTGATTCCCTGTGACCTTGGGAGAATCACATATTTGCTGAATCTCAGTGGTTTCAGTACCATGAACTTGGCTCTAAGCAGGAAATGTTCCTGCAGCTCTGAAAGCAGAAGTCTGACAAGAATTAGAGTTTTCCCAACATCCTGAGCTGTTTGGTTGTGCCTCTGCAGTAGAGAAGTTTCTTTGATTCAAGATTAGACTTCTGTGTCTCGGGGTCACAGAGATCAGCATTTGTGCTTTAAGTCTTCCTGGTGCTCTGCAGGATTAGCTGCTGTGTTTGAGATGGATTGTGGGGCAAATCCTCACTTGACATCATGGTTCAGGCACTTCTCTGCAGGCTCTGAGCTCTAATAGAGTAGGGAGAAATGGGTGAGGATGTGGGAAAATAAAAGGTTTGGGAGGGAAAATTGATTTAGGCAATCAGAAAATCAGCAGCTGAGGGAGGATCAGGCTCTGTTGAGCTGCCTCTGCCCTGGGATGGGAGGGGGGGCAGAAAAGCCTTGGGAGCTGCTGTGAGAGGATTACCAGTGCTCTTCATTCTCCACAGGAATGCTGACAATGAGACCAGCTCCTCCACGTCAGCCCCTGATCAGAGCAGGCATCCTTTTGAGGTGAGCAAGTCCTTTCTCCCTTCCACCACCTTCTGCTTTGCTGTTGGATTGAATATTTTTCCAATAGTGTGTAGTTTAAACGTTTCCCAGCTCATGACAGAACCTGGAAAGGAGGAATTCATATCCTCCACGTGCTGCTCCTGCAATCTCCACATCCCATATTTTTGCTGTTGTGTTCCATGGGACCATCACTCAGCTGATTGCTGTTGTGAGGGGGCTCAGCAGGATTTGGGTGTGTTGCTATGCAGTAGCCTCAGCTCGGAAGCAGCAGTGACACACCAAAGAAAAACCAGGGAAATGTGATTATTTCTGCCTTTGTGTGCAGTTCCAGTGTCTGTTCCTCACTGATCTGCAGCAGTGTCACCCCAGGCTGTGACATCTGTGTGCCACCTGAGCCTGTTGGCAGCTCCTGCTTTTGGGGTCTGTTTGGGGGTGTTTTAGCTGGGTGTGACATGGACTCTGCTTAGCAGTTTGTCCTCTAGTGGGAGAATATTCCCTGGTCATTGCCAGGTGTTGCAGAAATGTACTTGCTGTGAGGGGAAACAGAAGAGGACATCAGTGTGGAAGTGCATCCTATCAGAAATTGCCATCATGTCAGGAATTGTCCCCTTATGAATCACTTTGATCCAAGCATTTCAGAACTTTTAGGGGCTGTGATTTGGAACTGACCTTCCCATTTCACTACAAACTATTTACTCCTATCATTCACCCAGTCACTCATATTAGAGAAAATATTAGTACACATGTATTTACTCATAGACTTTGGAACTGCTGCTGCAGGTATGTCATGTTCCAATTAGAGGTGGCCATGAAAAGCAGTGTGAGAGTGAAAGCAAACAACTTATGGGTGTTTGGGTCAAGTGTGGCAGACTGCAGGGGCTGAGCTGGAGGTGGCCAGCAGCATCTTTGTCCCGTTCTGAATTTTACTGTCGTTCCTGTTGTCACAATCTGTTCTCTGCATTCCCTCCCTCCCTTCAGAACGTGGATCAGCACTTGTTCACCTTGCCCCCGGGCTATGGCCAGTTTGCTTTCGGCTTCTTTGACGACAGCTTTGAGTTTCCCTTCGGGTCCAACGTGCAGCAGGCAGAGGACAACCGGGACTCGGAGAACCGGCGGGAGCGCGAGCACCAGTCCCGGCACCGCTACGGCGCCCGGCAGCCCCGCGCCCGCCTGGCCACGCGCCGAGCCTCGGGCAGGCACGAGGGAGTGCCCACGCTGGAAGGGTGAGAACCACTCTGGCACCTCAGCAGGGAACCTTGGTGTTCCTCCGCTTTCCTCCTGGTTTATTGGAGCAGCATCCCAAAGATTTCCAGCGCTGCTGTGGGTGATGTCTGTGTGCCGCCTGAGCATGATGGCAGCTCCTGCTTTTGGGGTTTGTTTGGGGTGTTTTAGCTGGGTGGTGACATGGACTGTGCTTATGAGTTTGTCCTCTAGTGGGAGAATATTCCCTGGTCATTGCCAGGTGTTGCAAAATTGTTGTACTTGCTGTGAGGAGAAACAAAAGAGACCACTAGATAGTGTATAAGTGCATCCTAGGAGCCACTCAGCATCATGTCAGGAATTGTCCCCTTGTGAATCAAATATTGAAATTTTATCAGTACCTGATCAGTCCCTAAGCTGCCATTGCAATTGCTGTTGGGTATTTTTAATTGCCCCCAACAATGTGACAGTATTCAGCTTACTCAGCCTCTCCCTCCACACTGGGGTGCTGGGCTGGGAGCCGGCAAACTTTAATTCTTACACAATCCTGGTTTTCTTGTCTTTCAGAATTATCCAACAGCTGGTCAATGGAATTATTGCACCGACCACAATTCCAAACCTAGGCCTGGGCCCTTGGTGAGTTGGAGGATGTGCTGCTCTCTGTGACAGTGTCTCCTTGGTGCTCCAGGATGAACTCACTTGCTGTCCTTGCTCTTCAGGGGAGTCCTGCACTCAAATCCGATGGACTACGCCTGGGGTGCCAACGGCCTGGATGCGATTATCACACAGGTAAAACTGGGATTCCCTGCAGCTCCATCCTCCTGTGCAGTGCTGCAGGAGGGGCAGCACCTCTGGGGGTGCAGGGAACGAGGGGCTGGGGGACTGAAATGGGAAAGGATCCGCAGTGGTCATTGCCAGGTGTTGTAAAATTGTTGTGCTTGCTGTGAGGGGAAACAGAAAAGAACACCAGACAGTGCTTGTGTAAGTGCATCTAAGTCCAGGTGCCCTGGCTCAGGAAACGAGTGGATTCTATGTGCTGCTGAGCTCACCTCTCTGTTCTGCCTGCCTGGCTGGTTGTTTTTCCAGTTACTGAATCAGTTTGAAAACACTGGACCGCCGCCAGCGGACAAAGAGAAGATCCAGGCCCTCCCCACCATACAGATCACACAGGAGCACGTAGGTACGTGTCTGCTCCATGGAGTTGTGCTCTGGAAGCTCTCTGTGGTGTTTTCTTGGGACTTGAATGTTATCTGTTTGTACCTTTGAGGCATAAAACATTTCAAAGTGGGCAGAGAGCTGATGGGGCTCTGTTACACTCACACAAAAAAAGAGCAGTGTAGGCTGGACGGATTTGCCCTGGGGAGGTTGTGAGAAGTTCAGTGTGGATAGAGATGGAAAAGCAGAAGGGAAAGGAAGGATGAGGCATAGCCTGGGCAGGGGGAGGTGGGGTGATGGTGTGGGGGACTGTAGAGCTCCAAGCTTTCCTCCTGACAGGAATGGTGTGGGGACTGTAGAGCTCCAAGCTTTCCTCCTGACAGGAATGGTGTGGGGACTGTAGAGCTCCAAGCTTTCCTCCTGACAGGAATGGTGTGGGGACTGTAGAGCTCCAAGCTTTCCTCCTGACAGGAATGGAGCAGTGGTAGGGAAGGGGAGAGGGATGATGAGTCCCAAGTCAGGGGCTTTGCACCTCGTTGTCTCCTCCTTTGCTCAGCTGGGCTTGGCTTTCCCTGTGCCATGCAGATTCCGGGTTGGAGTGCCCTGTGTGTAAGGAAGACTACACAGTTGGGGAGAACGTGCGGCAGTTACCGTGCAATCACCTGTTCCACGACGGCTGCATCGTCCCGTGGCTGGAGCAGGTGAGTGCCTGGGGCCTGCAGCACTGGGGGCTTTGTCTGCTCCTGCTCCCCTCTGTAAATATTTTCCTACCTCCACGATGAGGCCTGAGCACCTGTGGTCAGAGGATGGAGTGTCATCCCAGCCCATTCCTCAAGTGCTGCTCCCCTGTTGTGTTTCTAATCCCGTTTCCCCTGTTTCTTGTTTTGTTTTTTTTTTTTTGTCTGCTCCCCAAAGCATGACACGTGTCCCGTCTGCCGGAAAAGTTTAAGTGGACAAAACACTGCCACAAACCCCCCAGGACTCACAGGGATGAACTTCTCGTCATCCTCCTCCTCCTCCTCTTCCTCCAGCTCACCAAGTAATGAAAACTCATCGAACAACTCATGAATCTTAACGCACCCTCTGTCCCCGGGGCCCTTCCACTGTTCCCCTTCCCTCCCTGGGCACCGCGAGCAGCCAAAGGGGCTTCCAGAGCAGAGCGAGGGGAGGGGACGAGGCAGGAGCAGTGCCCCCAGAATTTCCTTTTGATTTCTGAAGACACGGAGCCTCTGGGTCCTTCAGAGATGAGAAGCCTCAAGTTCTGTGATGAAAAAAAGGGGGGAAAAGAGCTCTGTCTGTCAATAAAAACATCCTCTTTGCGTGGACTTTACCCATTGCAGTGCGAGGCTGCTGCGCTCCCCGGCTGGGAACCCCGAGGTGCTGAGCGAGTGGTTGAATCCCGAATGGAAATGTTGTTTGTATGGGTTTGAATTTGAGATCCCTTTCTTTTTATTTCTTTTGCTCCTCCTCCCCTTGGATACTATCTTTTTTCTGCTTTGGAGATTGACGTCTAAAATGGAAATAGAAGGATGCTGCCTCCCCCCCCCCCAGGATCACCAGCTGGGGAGGACCAATAGCTGTCACTGAAACAGGAACTCTCAAGTAGACCCCGGGATCCTTCCCTGTCCCATCTCGAGTCCCTTTTATTTCTCTTTATAACCTCGCCCGCTGATACTCAACACTGAAAGGGGTTTTTATAATCTTAAATTATTACTGTTGTCAATAAATGGACATTTCAGCTCTGCGAGCCATTATGCATGATTTGAGGAAAGCTACAGGGTAAGCTCTGAGGCCACCAAGCTGTCCTGCCTTCCCCAGGGGCAGGCTGGGCCTCTCTGAGCCCTCCTGCGTGCTGGGAGTTGCTGTGGGAGCCACTGCCAGCCTGTGGATCACTGCACAGGTAGCCAAGGATCGCAGCTGGAATCATCCTCGCCTGGTGTTTTCTATTTTTTACACCTTTTTCCCCCCCTTACAGTCCTGCCCCCCTCCTCGCAGCTGGGGCAGGCTGTTCTGCTGAGCCGACACAGGACTGGGTGTGCAGCAGAACGAGGACCAGCAAATCTCATTGTGACCGAGTAATTACCAGGAAAACAACATTTTGGAGAGAAAAAAAAAATGTATTGCAAAGCTACTTAAAATAGAGCTGATTAAAACAAGGAGAGAGAGAAAAAATATCCAGGTATGTTTGTGACTCAGTTTCTGTGACAGAGCTGGAGCTCGGAGAATGACAAGAATGTCACCAGAGAGGGCAGTGACTCCCTGTCATGTCCCTGCTTCCTGGGCCCTGAGGCATGAGAGGAGAAACTCTCACCATCATCACTGGGAGCCCCTTCCCCTCACGGGGATTTGAGGCGGTCAGGAGGTTTCCTGGAGGGCTGGGGGTCTCTGATGGTGCCACATTTGGGACTGCTCTGTGCCAGAGATCAGAGCAGATAAGGGAGAAGCTGTCCCCATGGGAGAAGTGGATGGAGGGTTTGGCATTTTGGGGGGTTCCCTGCCTCTCCCTCAGCTTTTGGGGCTGCTGGGGAAGGTGCTGGCTCCAGCAGAGCTTGGGTGTCTCTTCTAAAGCAGCATCACCCAGCACCTGGCTCCCTTCCATGAGCTTCCTGAGAAGAGATGAACCTCCTTGGGTGTCTCTTCTAAAGCAGCATCACCCCAGGGTCTGCCCCCCTTCCACAAGCTTCCTGAGAAGAGATGAACCTCCTTGAGGAGAGGGAAGGATGGTTTGGTCTTGAGCCATTTCAGGACACAAGAAGTTGGTTTGTTGGAGAAAGTGTCCCCAGCTGTGTGCCAGGGCCAGGGGCTGGCAGGGAGCGACTCGCCCGGACTGTTTTTCTTCCTCGGCTTGGCCGGGCAGTGTGGCGGCGCCTTTCATCTCCCAGGAGAGTTTATCTCAGGACTGGTGTGTCGGGGTTAATGGCTCATCCTCTGCCAGGGGCTGAGCCACAAGCCTGGGCTGCTGAGGTGGGTGGCAGCAAGAAGGTCCCAGCTGCCCCTGCACGTGTCCATCGGCTGACCCCACGCCGAGGAAAGGCTTTGCTGTTTGATCACCAAAACAAGAAACCTGGAAAATCCTTCCCTCTCCCACTGTTTCAGCTGTAGCAGGGGGATCCTGGCTCCCCCAGGTGTTTGGGGGTGATTTCTCATATGTGAGCAGCACTCAGATGGGTTTCAAGTGGGCTGAGCAAAGTCCTGGGTGGGTGCATGGCAGGTGCTGCCCACCTGGCAGGGGCTCACCACAGTCAGCACATGGTTAATACAGTGCCTGTTCCCTCTCAGACTCATTTGGAGCTGGTTGGGTCAGAAATGGAACGAGTTTGGTGGTTTTTGCTGGGGCCATTGCTCTGTCTGACGTGACAGTGACCGGGATGCTGGGCCTGGCCTGGTGCAGGGATGTGCCCTGGCCACACACTGAGGTGCAGGAGCTATTCCTGGCCATGCTGCACTCCAGCTGAGGGGCTGCTCCTCACCACTGTCCACTGTCCCAGCTGTGCTTTTGTTGGGGATGAGGATGAAGAGCATGCTGCAGGACTGACTGGCACTGGCTGTGGCCAGGGACAGCCCTGGAGCTGTGTCTGCCTGAGGATCTGGGCTTCCTCCTGCTCCCTCCTTTGTGCCACTGAAGCACCGTGGCTGTTTTCCTGCAGGGTGGGCGGGGGTCAGTGAAAAGCTGGATGTGGCAAAGGACCAGCTGGGCTGCCTGCCAGGGGCAGCAGTGACACTGGTGGCTGCAGCCACAAGCACACGGGAGCCAATCCCTCCCATCCCAAGCCAAGTTCACCATCAAAGCTCCGAGACCTGCTCCTGTTCCATACCACGAACACAGCTTTAATTGCCACGGAAGCTCGGACACAGACAACCTGCTGGAACATCCCAGCCCTGCAGAGATGCCATGAGCAGATCCTGGCCCCTGCTCCAGTCGTGTTCCCCACACCAGCCCTGTGCCAGGCTGTCCTGGTTTAGGGCAAATTTGGGAGCACTGGGAGAACCACAGCCCTGCACGGCTGAGCCTGGAGCATCCATCTACCTTCCACATCCCTCTGCCGTGCGTTAAAAATAAAGCAATAAATAGCAAAAAATAGATATGTACATAAATAAAATAACATTTTTTGTTTGGTTTTTTTTTTTCTTTCTTTCTTCCTACAGGACCGTCTGGAGCTGCCCACGGCTTTCAGCTGACGAGCATGGGGAGGAAGTGTGTGGAGAGGTGCTGCCGGCTCGTCCTGCCCCCTCTCTGTGGCCGGCCCTTGCTGTTGAGCGACAGGAACATGGGGCGGCCGCGGTGCCGCCAGCGCAGCGACGCGTACGTGTTGTAGCCGTTCTCCTCGATGCGCTCCGTGAACTTGCAGTTGGGGCTGAACTCCTTCTGGCAGGAGAAGGAAGGGGGTGAGGAGGGGTGGCTCTGCTCAGCTGGAGCCCCTCGCACCCCAAGAGTGCGGCAGGGCAGGACCTTGGTTCCTCCCTGGGGGCAGAGGGGCTGCAGTGGGTGCAGGTGAAGGAAAGGAGCCTGTTGCGAGCCTGCCCTGAGCCTGTGACTCTGGAGCAGTCCCTGCCAGGAGGCAGCGTCCGACCTACCGACCCGTAGAGCCTCCCGCGCTTGTTCATGGCCAGGTAGAAGCCGGTGTGCACCGCCCGGATGGCCACGACGCCGACACGAACCGACCGGATCTCAACGATGCCTGCGGGCCAGGGAAGCGCGGCGTGAGCCAGGGAGGGACAGGCGACCTTCCCTGCCCCTGCTGGCTCTGTGGGCACAGTGTCCTCCTTCTAGAGGGAGGGAGTTGCTACAGCCCAAGCTGGGAGTGGGAGGAGGAACCTCTGATCCAAGCAAGGTTTGATCTTTACTCCTCTCCTCCCCAGAGTCCAGCCACTTCCTAGAAGCGGGAGGGATGCCAAGCACAACCTCGTGTCTGTCCTGCCCTCCCTGGCAGCTCTGCCCGTTCATCCATCCCCAGCACGGTGCCCGCTGTGCCCCGGGGCCCTGACCCGCCTCCCGCAGGGCCAAGTGGGCATGGGGGTGGCAGCGACAGCACCCATCGTGTTATTGTGGACAAAGGCACACAGCAGAGCTCTGTGGGGCAGGAATAAGCCAGGACAGTGCTGTCCATGGATGCCAAATTTCCTGATGGAAATTGAGGACAAGCAGCCCCATTCCCAGCACTGTGAGCACTGAGGATGAGCCCAGGGGGCGGCTGTGAAGCCACAGCTGGGCTGGCGTGTGTGCGCCCCGACCGCCGAGCTCCGGCTCGGCCGCTAATGGGAAAGGCATGCGGTCAGACCAGCGGCTCTGGCACGGGGAAACACCCAGAGCATCATCGGGGCCTCTGGATTCCTGCACTGCCTCACGCCGGCCGGCCCCGAGCGCCGCTGCCCGCCAGGCACAGAGGGAAGGGGAGAAGGAATGTCCAGCGATGTGGGCAGGGCAGCAGCAAGGGCTGGAGCCACGGCAGGATCGGCCACTGGGCACCACTGCAGGGCTGGACAGGGTGGGAGGGCACCCTGCAGCCCCTGGGCAAGGGGTTTTCATCAATCTCCTGGCACCGCTGGCATTCCCTGGGCATCACCTGCCTGCAGGATGCTGGGAATGGGCAGGGTGGGTACAGCACCGGGCAGCGTTCGGCTCCCCCGGGATTTCCAGCCCTGCTGCCACGGGAAGAACTGACAGGGCACTGACAGTGAATGCCTGTGAATCCATCCCACTTGATCACTGTCTGGAGCTGCTGCTATTTATAAGGACTTGTGCTTTTCTAAAAATAACCCCCTTCTGTTGCCAGCGCTCTGCCGCCCTTTGTTTGCAGGTGCCTGCCCAGTACCTGGCCAGAGCCAGCTCCCAGTGCTCCCAGTCTCACTCAGCCCCAAAGGGGTCTCAAAGAGGATGGGGCAGATGCAGAGCTTGAGGTGGGGGAGTCCCTGAAGATCCCCTGCCACCCCAGAGCTGCCAGTGGGGCTGGTCCAGCAGCTTCTGCGAGGGCTGTGGAGCAGAGCCCAGCCCAGGCGCTCACAGATAAGCAGAGTGAGCCTCGTGTACAGCCCGGAGCTGCTCTGCCTGCCAGCTCCCATGGCCACACCATGGAGGGAACGTGTTGGGGTGCTTTGTGCTGGCACTGTGCCTGCTCGGGACTCCCGACAGCCTCCGACACCACAGGAGGGTTCCCTGGGCTGGGCTGGGCTTGGCTGCCGTGTCCTGGGGCTGTGCTGGAGCAGGACATGGGCTGGGGGTGCTGCAGCCCTCCTGCCCCAAACCCCAACACCCTCTCAGGGCATCTTTTCCAAGATCCCCCTCCTTGTCCAGCTGCTGTCCTGCCAGCCTGGTGCCCCCATCCCTGTTCCAAGGTCTCAGACCTTGCACCCCGATGGGATACCTGGGCATTTGCAGCCCTGGCACGTCCTTGGGGACTCTGTCCCTCTGCCCACCCTGCTGTCTCGAGTCCCAACCTGCTCTGTTGCTCCATGGTCCCCTCTGACAGGGATGTTCTGCTGTCCCACATCGGACAGATGCCCCATTCCGGGACCAGCATCACCGCAAAGCTTCCTGCATCC